TTGTTGTTGTTTTTTACAGTGTGCTGTTAGACTTCATTTTTCTGCTACTATCTTGCAAAATCCCGACCTTTTGTCGTAATCTCACCTTCTCTATTTTTAGTCGTCTCGTTGTTTTTGCAGTTGTGATGACGTATGGCTATTTATTTTTACATCCTGATCTCTTCACCCCCACTTTTGGTCTGAATCAGCGATATTCTGGTGTTAGCTTCCCGTTCTTCCTCACCATGTTCCTCATGCACCGCTTGTTTCACATGCAGAACGGGTCAGACACGGAAAACAAAACAGACGTTTGGTTTTCTCTCTGTCACCACTTTGAAGGGTCAGGGAAAAAAATCCTCTTAGTCATTGTGTTTGAGCCTCAACACAATCTGCACAATCACACACCGCACTGACTTAGTTGTAAGAGACGCAGCTTTTCTTTTCCATAAGGAGTTTTGCTCTTGATTTATGGCCTGCACCAGCTCTGCATTGTGTCCTGAAGAAAGGAGTTCCTGAACTGATATGACAAGGGCAATTGAACAAGTTTGGAAATGTACCAACTTTGATTCAGCCGTCTCACAGCAGCGCTGCGTGCACACTGCTCGTCTTAATTAAGTTGAATAAATGAACCACACTTCCCGTGCAAAAGAGATCTGCAATCTCAGTGGAATTTGCCTGGTTAAATAAAGATTAATAATAAAATAATAAATATTGTGGTTTGCATGGCACTCAGCATGTACACGTGCTTTTTAAAAGTTTTATAGAGCTGGAAAAGGGTAGGGAGTCTTCTCCAGGTCGAGGTYCTGCACCAAGTGGAGGAGTTTAAGTATCTCAGGGTCTTGTTCATGAATGAGGGAAGAATGGAGCAGGAGATCAACAGGTGGATTGGTGCTGCGTCTGCAGTGATGTGGGTGTTGTACCAGTCTGTCGTGGTGAAGCTGGAGCTGAGCCAGTCAGTCTACGTTCCTACCCTCATCTATGGTCAGGAGCTTTGGGTAGTGACTGAAAGAAGGAGATCACAGATACAAGCAGCTGAAATGA